AAAACTCAATAATAATAATGGGGGATTTCAATTATCCCCATATTGACTGGGTACATGTCACCTCAGGACGGGAACCCACAAGAGGAGAGGCAATTCTTAATTAGTCCTTAGTTGAGCACAGGATCTGGTCCAAGAGGTGAATATAGCTGGGCCACTTGGTAATAGTGACCATAATATAATTAAATTTAACATCCCTGTGGCCAAGAGCCAAAAAAGTGCCACTGTGGCTAAACAACAAAGTAAAAAAAGCAGTTAGAGGTAAAAAGGCATCCTTTAAAAAGTGGAAGTTAAATCCTATTGAGGGGAATAGAAAGGAGCATAAACTCTGGCAAATGAAGTGTAAAAATATAATTACGAAGGCCAAAAAAGAATTTGAAGAACATCTAACCAAAGACTCAAAAAGTAATAGCAAAAATGTTTTTAAGTGCATCAGAAGCAGGAATCCTGTTAAACAACCAGTGGGGCGACTGGAAGATTGAGATGCTAAAGGAGCACTTGAGGATAAGGGCATTGTGGAGAAACTAAATGAATTTGCATTGGTCTTCACAGCTGAGGATGTGAGGGAGATCCCCAAACCTGAGCCATTCTTATTTGGCCACAAATTTGAGGAACTGTCCCAGATTGAGGTGTCATTAGAACAAATTGATAAACTAAACAATAATAAGTCACCAGGATCTGATGGTATTCACCAAAGAGTTCTGAAGGAACTCAAATGTGAAATTGCAGAACTACTAACTGTGGTCTGTAACCTATCATTTAAATCAGCTTCTGTACCAGATGACTGGAGGATAGCTAATGTGATGCCGATTTTTAAAAAGGGTCCAGAGGTGAGCCCGGCAATTACAGGCCGGTAAGCCTGACTTCAGTATCGGGCAAACAGGTTGAAACTATAGTAAAGAACAGAATTGTCAGACACATAGATGAACATGATTTGTTGGGGAAGAGTCAACATGCGTTTGAGGGGGGTCAACAAGCATGTGGACAAGAGTGATCCAGTGGATATAGTGTAGTTGGACTTCCAGAAAGCCTTTGACAAGGTCCCTCACCAAAGGCTCTTAAGCAAGGTAAGCTGTCATGGGATAAGGTGGAAGGTCCTCTCATGGATTGGTAACTGGTTAAAAGATAGGAAACAAAGGGTAGGAATAAATGGTCAGTTCTCAGAATGGAGAGGGGTAAATAGTGGTGTCCCCCAGGGGTCTGTACTGGGACCAGTCCTATTCAACATATTCATAAATGGTCTGGAAAAAGGGGTAAACAGTAAGGTGGCAAAATCTGCAGAAAACACAAAATTACTCAAGATAGCTAAGCCCAAAGCAGACTGCGAAGAGTTACAAAGGGACCTCACAAAACTGAGTGACTGGGCAACAAAGTGGCAGATGAAATTGAATGTTGATAAGTGCATAGTGATGCACACTGGTAAACGTAATCCCAACTATACGTATAAAATGATGGGGTCTAAATTAGCTGTTACCACTCAAGAAAGAGATCTTGGAGTCATCGTGGCTAGTTCTCTGAAAACATGACTCCTGCGGCATTCTGCACCAAAACATTAAAAATTCTACTCCAAAAATATAAAAATTCCACGCACAGTGTTTTAAAATTCTGCAAATGTTATTTGTCAAATCAATGTGGAGGCTCCAGCATGGCATTGGGGAGCACAGGCCACTGGCTGCACAGAGGTGGGAGATCACTGTGCACCTCCCCCCAGGACACGGACTCAGTGGTGAGGCTGCACCCAACCCTGACACAGCACAAGGACCGGGCCTGCCCCAGAAACACCTCAGGGCCCTGCCCCTCCATGCCAGGCGCACCAGGGGTGGGGCGGGCAGGCTCAGGAAGGCAGGATCCAAGTGTGGAGGGGCTTAGTGTGGGGGGATTCAGGTGTGGGTTGAGAGGGTTCTGTGTGGGGCAGTTTGGGTGCGGGCAGCTCAGTGGGGGATCTGCAGGGGGGGATCTGGATGCACAGGAGCTTGTTGGGAGGTTCTGGGTGCAACGGTAATCGGACGCTACAGGGTGGGTCCAGGTGAAGGTGGTTGGGGCTTAGCAGGGTGGGTTCTGTTATGGGGGCGGATAGAGCTCGGGGGGGGTCTGGG